AAAAAAAAAAAAAAAAAAAGAAAGAAAAAGTTTTGTTTTGTTTTGTTTTAAATAAAATGGAGTACTACTCAGCCGTTAAAATGAGAAATTAGAGACATTTATTGCTAGATGGATGCACATTGAGGCAATACTCTAAGTGAAATAAATAGGACACACATGTAAATACCTAGTAATTTCTCTGGTGTGAGAAACTAAAAGTGTAAAAAAAGGACTAAAACATAATAGATATGAAATAGGAAGAGAAGGGGGAGGGAGAAGGGAAAGGAAAGAAGGGAATGGAATTAATATAAGAAAATGAGGGCTGGGGATTTGGCTCAGTGGTTCTGCAACCTGCCTGGCAAGCACAAGGGCCTGAGCTCGATCCCAGTACCAAAAAAAAGACAATGAAAAAATGGAAACAAAGTCGTTATAAATATGGAGGAATGGAGGGTTTGAAGGGAGGGCAGGGGAATGGGAGAGATTATGTAAAGATGCAAATTTCCAATGATGAATGTCATTATATTGTATACCTAAAATGTATCAATAAAGTTAATTTTTTTTAAGGGACCTGGATAGGTAGGCTGCAAAGCTCCCTCAGTTTTAAACAACTGTGCTGTAACAGTAGTTGACCTGAGTGCTCACTCTGTGCGGACTACTGGAGTAAGAATTTTACCTTACTGGAACCTCTCACCAACTCTCAAACACAGGTATTATTATTCCCATTTTACAGAGAAGGTACTGGTGTGAACCAGTAAGTGGAAGAAGTCAAACCTGTCTGACTCCGGAACCCATGCTATTAACCATTGCCCTCCAAAGAGTCCATCTGAGAAGAAATACCTCTTTTCAGATCAGCCACAGATAAGGACAGGGGTGTAGAGAAACTTGGTTTTGAATCCTATCTTAGCCATTTACTTGCTTGACCTTGAGTGAGTTACTTTTCAAATTAAATTATTTTAAATTAATTAATTTCCTTATTTTTTATTTTAAAGACAGGGTCTTGCTATGTGGTTCAGGCTGGTCTTAAAACCCACTATGTAGTTCAGGCTGGCCTCAAACTCACGGCCATCTTCCTGCCTCAGCCTCCCAAGTGCTGGAATTACTGGCATGCACCACCATGCCTGGGTCCTTATCTTTAAAAGGGAGATAATACAAGGATTAGATGTGTTTAAAATACCTAGTGCCAACACACAGTAGGCCCACAGTAAATGGTCTCTCTTCTTAATACAAGACAATATAGAAAAGGGAAGGAAAGAGAGCCTTACAGAAGCCCTGGTGGAGATCCTGTGATCCCAATCCCAGCCCACCCTAAAGAAGCCCTCAGAAAGCCTGCCAAGAAGCTGGACCCTCTCACCGATCTTCATCTGGAAATTGTTGAAGGAGTGCTCATTGATGTGCTTCATCTGCTCCATGAGCCGCATGGCGTAGTCTGCGAGGGCAGTGATGTGGGAGCGGCCCACCTGATCGTAGGTGCTGGCATTCAACCCAGAGGCAGCCATGTAGGTGCTACCAATTGTCTTTATCTTCTCCAGCTGCCGGAACTGCTCCTCACTGATAATCTGGACAATACAGGGGTCCAGCTGAAGCCAGACAAAGAGGCCAAACCCAGCCCTGCCCCAGTGAGTCCTGCTTCATTCCTTGCCATGCTTGACTCCCTTAATTTCTTCCCTATCACAGTAGCTCCCCTCAGCTTAGTGGGTGAGCTCCCTACCAGCTGTTCCCGTCAGCACAGCATCAAGGAGCCAGGCAAGGACTTGAAGGTCAATTACGATGGCTTACTCTCAGGTCAGCAGAAAGGATGCTGAGCATCAGTTACTCCAACCCTCACCTTTTGGGGAGCTGAGTCCCAGAGTAAGGGATTCCATCCAGAACAATGAATAGCTCATTTCTGACCAGGATGCTCAGGACAATTTCTCACATTTTGCTTCCATTTTCTCTATTCAGGAAACTACCTCACTTGTTTGGTCTCTTGGGGCTCCGTCCACAAACTACCGTTATCCTCTTCCAAGACATCTACCTGGTCCCTATTTTGTCTCTGCATATCTTCATGTCCTCCTTTGCTCCCCACCAAGGATGACCCTGTCCCACTGAGATGACTCCTTATTCCCTCTGACACGGTCCCTGCTTCTTCTGTCCCTACCCTTATCTGTACCCATGACATCTCTAGATCCCATCAAATCTCCCTTCTCCTCCAGGTACTACCTAGCCCCTCCAACTGACCTTCTCATCCAACATTCTCCATACTCGCCTGGTCCCCAAGTCCCACCACTCTGCCAGTACCAGCCAATTGGCAAGCACCTCATCAAAGTCAGCGATGATCTCATTGAGCAGCCGCAGGCACTCAACACCCTCATTATTGGCCTCCAGCTCCACATAGAACTCAGAGAAGTTGGCAATAGAAGCAAACATGACAGCCACACACTCGCAGGACTGATAGTAGAGCTCATCATTCCGGCGCTCCCTGGCCAGGAAGTGGGCAGCCACGTCCTTGGGCAGGATGTTATGCAGCAGCCGCCGGTTGTAGGCCTGGAGCTCTTCCATCTCCTCCTTCTCTCCCGTTGCCTGTGAACACCACACCCATAACCCACTGCCCAACACTCACAAGGGGCAGGTAGAGTGACCAAGGACATGGACAGATGAGGTCTAAAGGACAGGCAGAGAGACCAGGTACAAGATGGGGCAGAAGACAGGGAATGCACACAAAGGCAGCATGGGAGGCTTAGGGCACCCTGAGCCTTAGTTAGCTGGAAAGAGATGCATTTCTGGCTTGGAGCAGGCTCTGCCCCCAGGTCCCACTCCTTCCCCTGAAGGTCCACCCAAGTCACCTGCAGTTTCCAGAGGAAGTCCAGGCGGGCAGTCGACTCCACCTGCTGGGCATGCAGATACAGCGCCAGCGCAAACACCAGCAGAATTACAGGCGTCATGTATTTCAGTGCCACCCTCCCTACAGCTGGGCTGAGGATTAAACAGAGTTGTGTTTGCTGTCTGAAGGAGGCACCCACTGGCCTTACCCTTTGCTGCCCCGAGCCTTCACTTACCAGTCCAGCCCACTGAAGGTCTCGTTGGAAGAAGCCCTGGTGGGAAGATACAAGAAAAAAAGTCACCAGTGCTTCCTGAATGGCTAGGCAGGGCATGGAGGGTCAAGACACTGCACAGCCAAGCTGTATCACTAGTCATGCTGCGGGCTTTTCCTTATACTGATGAACTCCTTAAGAGCAGAGGTTAAGACTCTTAGTGGCTCAAGTACTTACCAGCTATATGACCTGGGACAAGTGGCTTAAATTTTTCTAAACCTCAGTTCCTCATCAGTAAAACTGGGATCAGATCTAAATAACGCATATATATGTAAGGCTTAGCACATGTCTGACATGAAGTAAGTCTTCACAAATGTTAGTTACCATAACCTTTACAACTACCCTGTGATAGAGATGGTATTGCCATTTGACAGATGAGAAAATTGAGGCTCAGAGAAGTTAACTCACCCACCTGAGGTCACACAGCTAATGATCAGCAGAGCAGGGCTTCAAACCCCGCAGACTCCAGAGGCTCTCTCTACCACAACAAGCTATGGCTATATATTGCAAAGGATGGGGTTTTGGGGAGGTATCCCAGGTAGAGCCCTCCAGCAGGAGTCAGAAGTTTTGCTTCCTAGCTAAGGCTCTGCCAGCAAGCAGCTATAATGACATACAGATGGTTAGAACAGTGGGCAGGAAAGCACCATGCAAGTGGGAGAGGGATTTTTTTAAAGTGTGAAGCCTAAAGACATAAGGACTTCCCAGGACTAGGGTTTCTTTGGGGTAACATGCCAAGAATCCCTGGTCTCCTTCCTTTCCCTAGGAGTGAGTTGTAGCATTCCCAAGGTACAAGATCCTGTGTACTACAAAGGTTCCCAGTGATCTAGCAGGGTTGGGAGGCTCCTGGGGCATTGCAGGGGCTGAAAATAAACTTACAAGCCATGGATGCCAAGCAGGAGGTCATAGTTGTCAAATATGGTGGCTGGGGGACCCAGCAGAAGCAGCACCAAATAGATAAGCCCCAAGATGAAGATCATGGCCAACTTGCCAATACTGCTGATGTGCAGGAAGACAGAGCTGGCCAAGAGACTCAGCAACATGTTCCCAACGAAGTACTGGGGGACAATGGCAGAGGCAGCGTTGGGTGATGGCAGAGGCCATGGCACCCAGGGCAGGGAAAGCCCTGCACTCCCCTGCCTGGCCTATGTTCCCCTCTTCAGCCCTCACACCCCAGTGCCCTTCACCCTCTGCCTCCAACCTAAACCACACCAGGGCCCCTGGCTGCTCTTGGAGTTAGGGACTTTGATGAGTCCTGGGTCCCCAGTGCCCATCACCAGGCCTGGCACAGAGGGACCAATGACTGTGCCAGGACATCTCCCTCTGCTTGCACACTGCTTGGACACCTCAGGGAAGCTGCAGGTGGGTGCGGTGCCCTCACACAGGGGAGCATCCAGGCCCAGAGAGTAATTGAGCTGTTGAAGGTGGCAGGCAGTGATGTCAGCAGGTGTTAAATTCAGCATCCGGGCTGCACAGGTCCGTATAGGTGTGTGGTTACAGGTGAACTGCAAAAGCCAGTGTATATCAGGGTAATCAAGGAAGGAAAGGGTTGCCAGGGTCATGTCCAGGTGCCTCATACCCAAGGGTCAAAGTTCTCAGGGTGATAAGAGGATATGAGAGGAGAAACTGGAGTTAACCTCCCCCTCCTCCAGGACAGTGGGCTCCCTGAAGGCAAGAAACATGTTTTACTCCCCCTGCATTCCAGGTTCCAAAGCAGTGCCTGGCACAGAGCAAAGGCAGAACTCCTATCAGACCCTTACCATGTTGGCGATGGCAGAGATGAACACAAGCAGGACTGAAAAAATGCCAACTGCGGTGCTATGTGCCCGTGAGCGAACGATGCTTCGGGACAGATGCTGCAGGGCCTTGGGGAACAGCTGGAATAGCAACAGACCAAGAGATGGAAGTCACACGAGCCAAGAAGAAAGGCCAAACGGGGAGGGACCCAGCAGGAGAGACGTATCTTCTCTTCCCCTCAATGGGACCCCCTCCTCACCTACCCCCAAAGCCCCAGGGAAGCCCTTCTACGTACAGAACCACAGGAGTACACAGCACAGATCAGCACAGTGACCAACAGTAGCAGGAAGATACTGGCGTAGATCCCAAGCATCAGGGTGGAGCTAGGGCAGGACAGGGCCCGGGAAAATGTTACTTGGGAACATCTGGACACCCTTGTCCCCATCCCTGGTACAGGCAGGGGTGTAGGCTCCAGGGACTAGGGGCCTGCTAGGGTGTTTAGGAAGGTCGAGGCAGTGGTGAAAAGGGGCAGGGCTCTCACTGTGGGAAGATGAGGAGCTGGATGAAGCAGATGAAGCAGAAGACCAACAGAGAACAGGCAACGTAGGCTCCAAAGCGGGGATCCACCTTCCGGGAGTACTGAGGGAGAGGAGACTGAGCTGGGCGCTGGGATCTGCCTTGGGGGAGGCAGGGACAGCAAGGGCAGAGCACGACCAGGGGCTTCAACAGGAGGAGCAGCAGTTGGCCCAACTGCTACGAATCCCCCTCTGCTCTGTGGTCCCTACTCCCGCAAACCACCTCCTGCTCCCTCACCTTTGCTCAACCTTCCCTGCCTGGAGCTGCCCTTCCCCCTGGCCCTTGTTCTTTTGCCCATGTCCCCCAAACCTTCTTCTCAAGATCCTCTCTCTGGAAGGTGAGCAGGAACCGGCGCACATGGTCCTTTCGCAGCTGATCGATGCTGCGGGCATCAATGGCACGGCCCAGGAACTCATCCACCTCATCCTCAGGATTGAGAGCATCCTGAGCACCCCGGCTGAGGACAGGGCATGTGTTTTACCAGGTGCCTGAGCAATGCCATGTGATTAGCAGAGGGAAGGCATGTGAGCATGCACGGAACCTATTCTCACACACTATATCAAAGGCCCAGGAAAGAGGATCTCGGCTCCCGCAACCCCATCCAAGGCACAAGTGTCTTTCCCTCCTCATCCCCTTCCTCAATAACCTGACTTACTTGTCTTTGCTGGAATCATCAATGCCCTAGAAAAAGAGACAAGAGTGTGTCAGTGAAGTGCGGGGCCCATCCACCTTCACCTTTGAAGTTCCACTCTCTCTCAATAGCCTACTAAGGGTGTCCCTCCACACACACTTTGGGGGACTTGGGACCCCTGGGATGAAATCATCTCTCCTGACCTCGATATTAGAAAGCATACACGGAGATGGAAGCTACAGGAAGAAGGACATGGGATGTAGAGGGAGACAAGAAAATGAAGCCCCAGGTCCTGTGCTAAGGGCCCCTCACCATCTGGCGGAAAGCCTTGGAGTCCTTGGTCCGGGAAAAGGCACGGTCAGGTACCCAGCGTGGCATCAGCCCTTCCATGGAATTGGCTCGTGTCCGCTGCAGCTTGGCCAGCATGGCCTTCTCCTCTTTCTGTGTGGGCCATGAGGGTACAGGCTCAGAAGAGGGGCCTCCAGAAGGGCTCAGACAGCTCCCCCCAGGAGCCGTCCCTCTGCCACCAGCTCCTCCCAGCCTGTCCCTCTCCATGCCTGCCTCCCCCACCCTTAGCCAGGCCCTGGCCTGACCCGTTTCTGGCTGGCGCCCAGGATGAGGAAGGTCTCAATGCGTTGCTCCTTGAGATATGCGTTGCGCTCACCGCCACGGCCTGGCTCTACCTCATAGTCCCCATTCAGGTACTGCAGCGTGGCCCGAGTAATATGGATGCGGCTGTGTGGGGTCAGCAGGTGAGACCCCAGCTCTCCCACCTTGTTCCCAAACCCCACCACCTGGACCCCTCCACTCACCCGGCCCGGCCTCCCGCCTCCATGTGGTTGGCCAGGGTCACATCATTGGACCACACATCAAACTGCCATTTCCGCAGGCCGAGCACACCACAGTGCACACGCCCGCTGTGGATGCCCACACGCATGTTTACATTCACACCCGTCACTTCACGCACCAGCCTGGAAAAATGCAGCTCTGGATCAGCTCCTGGCACAGTCTTCCCTTCCCCCAGCCCAGTACCCAGGCAGTCCAGTAGGCAGACAGACCCAGATGCAGGAGACAGGAGCACAGTATAAGCTGGGCATGGTAAAAAGGCTGCACAAGGTCTCAAGCACAAAGATTTGAGAACTGTGTTCAGCAGGGGCCTGAGCATCTTTTGGGATTGAGCCGGCAGAGGAAGAAACACTATTCTTACCTCTGGCCAGCTGAGCTGGCATCTCTGGAGCCCCCCGTCCCCCACTGCCCTAGCTCCGCACCCCCTCCAAGCTGGCTAAAGTCCAAGGGTGCACACAGGTCTTCATAGAAGCTAGAGAAAGAGCCATTCCCCTCCCCAGTGACAGATCTCAGAGACAGAGAAAGAGACAAGATAGGAAAATTCCTGAGAACATGTCAGAGTAGGAGCAGTCTGGGGCACCCAAGATTCCAGGAAGCCTGGGATGGGGCACTGCTTACGATATGGCCTCGATCATATCCACCCCCATCTCCACACAGCAGTGGGCATGGTCTGCCCGGGCCTCCGGCAGCCCTGACACACAGTAGTAACAGTCCCCTAAGATCTTGATCCTCAGGCAATGATTTTCCTGAAGGGGAAGAGGTGGAGGGAAGGGTCACCTTTACTTTCTTGCCCACCCAGCCTCACTGCAGATGCTATCTGCCCCACACCCCTAGTCGCCACCAGCAAAACTATGCTCTCACCACACTTGGCACACTGTCCCCAAGCCCCAGCACCCTCACCGCAGCCAGCTTGTCAAACCGGGCAAAGAGTTCATTCAAGGTCATGACCAGCTCCTGTGCAGTGCATTGGGAGGCCAGACTGGTGAAGCCCTCAATGTCCGCAAATAGGATGCTGTGGATGACAGCAAAGGACGGACAGGCCATGTAGCCTGACTCCCAAACCCTCACCCCACCCTCTTGGACTTCTCCCACCCCCAGCCTACCTGACATTGTCATGCTTCTGGATGTAGATCTTGTGGAACATCATGTCTTCTTTTTTTGTGTTGATGTCTTCTTTCATCTCCATGGCAACATGCTGGGGCAACACGGACAGCAGCAGCCGCTCCTAGACCCAGTGGTTCCAGCAGGGCACTGCTATCATCTGTGCTTCACATTTTGATCCTCCTAATTCTTCCACATTCCCAGAGCTCTCCCAGACCTCTCTGGTGACCTGAGCTCCCCTTCTGGATGGTAGGCAGACCCACCCCACCAGAGCCCATGGCAGCCATCCATCCTAGCCCTCTCTGACCAGCCCCCACTCAATCCTCCAGATACCCTCTTGCCTATTCCCTCACACCCTCAGACAGGACAGAGCCCTAGTGTCACAGGGGGTGTCCATATAGTCCAGGGGGAATCATTCACACAGGATCCAAGACTGAGATAAGGCAGCAGATCCAATCTGCAAGTTTTTTGGGGGGAGGATTAAAAAAAAAAGGGATGCTCTTGGGCTGGGGAATTAGCTCAGTGCCTGCCTCCCAAGCCCAAGGGCCTCAGTTCAATCCCCCATACCAAAAAAAAAAAAAAAAAAAAAAAAAGGG